TGATTGCCACTGAGGTGCTCGTTGTCTAAGCCCGTGTTTCTTAGGGTTGTCTTACAGTCTCCCTAAGGCAGGCAATTCCATCCCTCCTCCGAAGCTCAGATTTTGCTCTGTCTCACAGCTGCTCCCAAGGCCATGGCCCGTGGTGGCCAGTCCTCTGGTGGCCAGGAATAGCACTGCTCAGGAGTGGGCCAAGCGCTTCCACCACCCAAGGAAATTCCCTTTAAATCCCTCTTCCTCAGTCCAGGGCAACATTTCTTATGTATAGTTGGCGTGTCATGACTGCAGCATAACATGGTTTCGGAGGTATGCTGAGAGAGACACTTTTTTTTAAATTTCAAGAGTTATATGTTTAATGTGTACTAACAATTTGAGTTAATATATTAAACCCATTAAACCCCTTTTTAAAAGTGTAGTCCTTGTTTCCTGCCATTTTAATTTTAGATGAAAATGAGAGATATGAGTACACTGAAAAGTAACGTCACCATCTGGAAAATTATACATAGGAAAATGCAATGAGGAATACAGATCTTTCAGTCCCTATTCCAGTACTCTTTAACAACTCTGCTTCCTTGGATGGGTATCCATGAGCTATAATACTTAAGGAGATTTTCATTTGTAGGTTTTAGGATTTTCTTATCGGTCATATTCACCACTCATCCTGGAGCAAGACCAAGGAAAATCTGCCTTGGATCCTTCCGAGTACTGGGCATTTTGAAGAGTTCATCTTTACTGATGCCAGGTGAGATATAACCGTACTTCCTGGCAAGTTCAAGTCACGTTTTGGGAAATTTGGCAGCCTCTACCAGGTACCCACAATTCTTTGCATCGGTGTAATATGGTACCAGTTCCTCTGGTGGAAGCATTCTCTTTGGAATGGGCTGTCCACGAAGAAAGAATGGAACAGGTCTGCATATCATGTCCGGGCTTCTTGGATCATAGAAAGCTATAGTAACAACACCACCATTTTTTTAAATTGCAGCAATAGCTAGTTCTGAAACCAACTGTACTTCAATATTAACTTTTGCCCTAAAGGTGTCAGCACCCTCCTTGACCAGCTGGACACCATAATCCCTTTTAATTGGCTGGATGGCCACACCTCTCCCATTGACAAGCTGGGTTAAGTCAATAGGTTCAGTAGGATCAACACGACCCAAATCAATAAGATACTGCAGTCTATTGAGACACAAAGGCTTATCCTGGTGTCTGAAGCTATGTCCTTCATTAAACCCCTATTTTGGGATTCAGGTGTAAAATGGAGTCTGGCCTCCCTCAAAGCCCAGGCGGGGCCGGGTTCCTCTTTGTCTTTGTCCTTTATGGCCTCTGCCACATTTTCTACCTCTTCTCCAACCTCTTGGTCATCTCTGTGGTTTCTTGGAGCCAGGATTTGGCTTGCAGTTGGCCAGGCTCACACATGGCAGGCCCCGGAGTAGGTCCAGGGCCCAGGCCCCAGCGCCTTGCAAGGGACTGGCCATAACCCACAGATATAGCTTCCTTTTAAAATAACTTTAAAATGTCAGTCAGTATAAAGTGAAAAATAATAAATTCACAATTCCATAATATTACCATCAGTAATAACAGATATTGCAAAAATCTCAAAGAGCTGCAGGGATTTCTGATGTCTGGGAAACATTTAGACACAGTGCTATTCAATAGAAATATCACAGGAACCACAATGCAAACCATCTGAGGATATGTAATTTAAAATTTTCTAGGAGCCACATACAAAAGAAATAGATGACATTAATTTTGATAACATGTTTTATTTAACTTGATGTATCCAAATATCACTTAATATGTAATCAATATAAAAATAATTTGAGATATTTTACATTATTTTTTCTTTAATACAAAGTTTTGGAAACCTGGTATACATTTGTACTTCCTGCACATCTCATTCAGACTAACCGTGTCCCAGGCACTCAGCAGCCACACGTGGCTCGTGGCTACTGTACTGCAGCATGCAGGTCTAGGGAACTGAGGACAGATTCTGCCACTTAAGCCTCCAAATCCCACAATGGCTGTCACCAAACATTTTTTTGTCAGGTACCTCCAGAAGAGTTTTAGAAACCTATGTGTCCCCTTCCCACCCTCCTCTGCCTTACACACTCATTGTTAGATTAATAACTACAAGTTCTAAAAGATTAAATCCTTCTTAAGGGTATAATTTGCAGTGTCTTCTAAGTATTGGCCTTAGGCCGGGCACAGTGGCCCATGCCTGTAATCCTAGCACCACTCCAGCTTGGACGACAGAGTGAGACTCTGACTCAAACAAATAAATAAGAATTAAGTAAATACTGACTTTAAAACAAAACTCTGACAGCATTTTACAATAGTCAATGGGATGTAAATATAGCACTTTGTTCCCCACCATCATCCAGTTATATAAATCATCGAGTCAGGTCTTGCTTTTCTTCATACTTCTTCTTAAAGTTGTATTTCTATTTCTCTTTCCTCTACCTAACTTTATCTAAAGTTACCTTACTTATTATCTCAGATGAGCCGTTCTGCAAAAGGAATTTATATGTAAATTTAGTTGTAAGAACGAGTCCCTGTGACCATAAGGCTGTAAGTGTGGTTTGAACAGTACAATTATTTTGGAAACCTGTATCTAAACAGCAGAACTGGTCTTGCCTCCCCCTTCATTCATGTAGCCATGGATGAATATTTCAGGTGATAACAAAGATCAGATCCTACTTTTATCTTGGGATGTGAACTAAGCCCAATTAAGGCAACCTTCAGAGCTTGTTTAAAGAGTGTTTTTGCTCCTTGATAACTGTCTATTTTTATTCTCAATAGGTAAGGTTTCGGTTTAATCTTGACACATTAGAAGGAGTTAATCTGAAAAGCTTGGATGGGAGGGTAAGGACAGTTAAGAGTCTAGGATGGGTATGTTTCTGGGTATTCTCTACCACATTTTGTGGAATCCTCTAATTACCAACATCCACTTTGGGAGGCCAGGGCGGGTGGATCACGAGGATTACAGGCATGAGACAGCGCGCCCGGCCAGCACCAGCTTCTTTTAAACAACCAGATCTCATGTGAACTAATAGCGTGAGAACTCACTCATTACCATGGGGAGGACACCAAGCCATTCATGGGAGTACACCCCCATGAACCAAACACCTCCCACTAGTCCCCACCTCCAACATTGGGGATCACATTTCAACATGAGATTTGGAGAGGACAGATATCCAAACTGTATCAGGTGTAAAGTGGAGCACGTACAGATAAGACCGCATCCACCCTGGTCAGCCTCTGAGCCTTGTGGGGCCAGGACATCATGGATCCAAGACTTCGTTGACCCTTGGTGCCTGTCTGGGTGTATGAAAGCTGCTTTGCCTGACATGCTGTGCAAGTGCTCTGTCTCACCAAATACTAGCAGCTGGATTTGGGCAAACCCTCCTGCTGGATCTAGAAAACTACCAGATCTAGGAACCTTAGTAGTGGTAGAAGTTGGTGGGGTGTTCTTCTCTGCGATTGTTAATTGGGGCACAGAATTCTCCTCTGGGATTGATATCCATACACAGTATTCCGTTTAACAGAGACCCTGGTGATGCTGATGAGCACCTACTCCCCATGCTGCAGCACACCTTCAGGGTTCCCAGAATATCCATGCCTGTCAGAAAGTGAAGCTCTTCTTTGGGATAATATTAGACTCTGAAAATTCTTTTTTTTTTTTTTTTGGCCAGGTGTGGTGGCCCATGCCTGTAATCCCAGCACTTTGGGAGGCCAAGGCAGGCAGATCACCTGAGGTCAGGAGATTGAGACCATCCTGGCTAACGTGGTGAAACCCTGTCTCTACTAAAAATACAAGAATTTAGCGGGGCATGGTGACACATGCCTGGGTGACAGAGTGAGACTCCGTCTCAAAAAATAATAATTTTTTTTTCTTTTAGATACAGGATCTCACTCTGTCACCCAGGCTGCACTGCAGTGGCACAATCATAGCTCACTGCGGCCTCCAACTCCTGGACTCAAGTCATCCTGCCTCCTCAGCCCACTGAGTAGCTGGTACTACAGGTGCACACCACCATGCTCAACTAATTTTTTTTTGTAGAGAAAGGGTCTCACTATATTGCCCAGGCTGGTCTCAAACTCCTAGCCTCAAGTGATCTTCCCACTCCAGCTTCCAAAAGTGCTGGGATTCCAAGCATGAGCCACTGTGCCTGGCCCCCTAGAAACTCTTAACTCACAGCTATCTCCATCCTAAATTTGATAGTTTAGATCTCCTTCCTTGTGTCTTAATCATTCCATCAGATTTTTCAACATATTTTTGCTCTTTTCTAAACATGTAGACAATATTACATCATGCACTGACAAAATAAGGATTATCAATGGACACACATAATGGCAGGGATCCCGCGGCTTCCTGGGAAGGTGAGTCTCCTGCCCTTTCCTTTGCACTTCCTTCCAGATTTCATCTCCACTGCACTTACAGAATTGATGTTCTCAGCCCTCCACTCATGGACTCCAGTGGATTCTGGCAGTCAGGCCTGCCCTGGGATCCCCACAAATCTGACAGACAGAATCTGTGTGACCTCTTTGCTAGGTCTCATTGGTTGTTAGTGAGTATGCGGTGTGTTCTCTTGCCTTCTCTTAACTACCTTGTCTTTGGGGGCGAATGCAGGGCAATTCTGTACACCTCACCTGTCTCCATCCAAGCCAAGCCAAGGGCCAGAGTCCTGGGCTGACTGTCCTGCCCTGTGCTCAGGCACACCTTCTGGCTCTGCTACAAAGCAAACTTGGTCTTCTTGTTTCTGCTACTGTGCAAAAAATTTACAATCAACTCTCACGACCTTTATGCCACATTTATCAACCTTAAAGGGATGCCTGGACTTTGAAAACTATTTAGCAGGGTTGGCTGCCCAAAAGTCAAAGATCAGACCAGCCAATGGTGTCAAAGTTGACTCATTCTTTAGAGTCATAACTAATACTTTTGTTTGTTTGTTTGTTTTGAGACAAAGTCTCACTGTGTCACCCAGGCTGGAGTGTAGTCGTACAATCTCAGCTCACTGCTACCTCCGCCTCCCAGGTTCAAGCGTTCCTCCTACCTCAGCCTCCTGAGTAGCTGGGACTACAGGTGCATGCCACCATACCTGGCTAATTGTTTTGTATATATATATATATTTTAGTAGAGGCAGGATTTCACCATATTGGCCAGCCTGGTCTCAAACTCCTGACCTCAAGTGATCCACCTGCCTCAGTCTTTCAAAGTGCTGGGATTACAGGTGTGAGCCACTACACCCAACCTACATTTTTATTTAATGTATTTTAAGTCACTATGCTCAAACAAACAGTAAGATTTGGAATCTGATCTACAGTTCTTATTTTGGGACATCAAGGAAAATTTTCAGCCCAGTGAACTAAACACAAATTGGCAGGTAATGTGGTGTAGAACAGTGGCTTTCAAACTGGCTTCATGATAAGAAATTTATGTTAAATGATAACCCAGTGCATGCACGTGCACACACAGACTCGCAGACACACGCACACACACCCCACATCACTGAAACAAAGTATTGTAAAGCAGTGCTGCACTACAGGAAAATGCACATGAAAGTGACTTTTTAGGAAATATTCCCAGGAAAAGAGAAGTGAGGAAGCAGGAGTAGGAAGAGGCCACGTAAGGGTACAACCGAGCCAAGTCCCATGGTAGGCAATTTCGATTCATTCCTGCAGAGGGCTTGGGGAACATCGCATGTCACACCTCAGAGTCATCCCAGTAAGAGGGCAAAAGAGCTGGAGAATGTCTGTCCCCACCCTCATCAATCATTGGCTAAGGGCTGTGACAGGAGGGAAGGGACATAAATCCCCAGGCACTTCTAGCTCTCTTGTATCTTCCAACAGCATGCTGGTTTTGTGAAAAGAATGCACGCTGGAATTCAGCTGGTCTACACAGAGAACGCAGAGGGATCCCAGGTGACATCAGTATGGTAGGAACAGCTTCTGCTGCAAACACCCTATGTTGCTTTTGCTTTCTGATATTTTTCACAGCAAAGCAAACTTTCTTGCTGCTCTGCTAACTTTGTTACTGCTCACCCATCTGCGTTCCGTCTTCCAACATGTTGTTGCTACCTCTTGTCTGCTGTTGCCTGTTCCATTCTCTGTATCCTTCCAGGTTTCATAAGATTGTTTTTATTCGGTCTGGGCATGGTGGCTCTCTTTGGGAGGCTGAGGCAGGTAGATCCCCTGATGTCAGGAGTTCAAGACCAGCCTGGCCAACATGATAAAACCCCATCTCTACTAAAAATACAAAAATTAGGCGGGCATGGTGGCACACGCCTGTGATCCCAGCTACTGAGGAGGCTGAGGCAGGAGAATCCCTTAAACCCAGGAGGCGGAGGTTGCAGTGAGCCAAGATCGCACTGCTGCACTCCAGCCTGGRTGATGAAGCGAGACTCTGTTTCAAAAAAGAAAAAAAGATTATTTTTMTTCCTTTTCAGTCATTTCAGAGAGGCTTCAGGATGGAGTTGTGATAAACACATGTATTCAGTCCACAATGTTTAACAGGGACTGCCTTCTGATTTTTTCATATGAATTACTGAAGATCCGGTAGTAGACTGTCTTGATGCTCTTCCCCATGTCCCCTTGACTGAGTTGACCTGCAGCTGCAGTGAACTTAGGAATCCTAAGCATGCTGATGGCTTCCCCATTCAAGCACCTGCCTCATTCTGCTTCTCTGACTGAGGATTTCCTCCAGTACAACAAGAGCTTTCCCCACCCTCACAAGGTATCCTAGAATTGCTGGTCACTGAACACCCCTCAACCCATGAAGAATGAGGGTCGGTGGATTAATATCCAACCACCCCGTACCTTGCTGGGACTATGATAGGGCATTCTGTGTGGTTCCTGAGAGGTCCCAAATGGGACTGAGCCCCGATTGCCCACAGTGATAGCCCATGCATCAATTCAATTTTCTATTTCACCCCTCTTACTCTCCACACTCACTCACTTGCTCTAGCTGGGATCCTCTCCAAGATAAACTCCTGTATTCAAAGCTTTGTCACAAGGTCTGATTTTAGAGGAACTCAAATGGAGATAACAGGTACTGGAAGTGACTACGGAAAGTATATTCTCAGTGGTATGGAGGCAACAAAAACCCCACTGCTGGTGGTGAGTAAGGTGGTGACAAACCCTGGCACTTTGAAGAATTCCCGTTGCCTACACTTGACCCAGGGTGTGCTTGGATGAGGTAAAGGCGAAAAGAGAAGCGTACCTTCTGCAGTCGTGCTAATTCTCCTGAAGGATACGGGTTGTGATAATCACAGGAATTGAAGAGTTGTCTTGTTCTTGTTAATTGCCTTAGAAGAATTGGGAAAAAAGAGGTTTACGTCATCCAACTGTCGATTCAGAGCATAGTAGTGAAAGCCAGAGGCCGTTATGGAAGGAACTAAAGAGTGGTCTCCATTTCCTTAGCCAGGCGCAGTGGCTCTTGCCTGTAATCCCAGCACCTTGGGATGCTGAGATGGGTGGATCACTTGAGGTCAGGAGTTCAAAACCAGCCTGGCCAACATGGTGAAACCCTGTCTCTACTAAAAATACAAAAATTAGCCAGGCATATTGGCACATGCCTATAATCCCAGCTATTTGGGAGGCTGAGGCAGGAGAATCGCTTGAACATAGGAGTCAGAGGTTGTAGTGAGCCAAGATCATGTCACTGCACTCTAGCCTGGGCGACAGAGAGCCAGACTCCGTCTTAAAAAAAAAAAAAAAAATCTCCATTTCCTGCAAGCAGATAACAGACTGTTCTAAAACATGACACTCATGGGTTCATTGTAAGAGTAACAGAACTATGAAGCAGACTGAAGGCACAGTCCAGGCAGGCCTCTGATGTAAAAGTCATAGCCCTAGAGGAAGGAAATGGTCCCTAGAACTACTGGGATGTGCTGGGCGCGGTGGCTCACGCCTGTAATCCCAGCACTTTGGGAGGATGAGGCGGGTGGATCACAAGGTCAAGAGATCGAGACCATCCTGGTCAACATGGTGAAACCCCATCTCTACTAAAACCACAAAAAATTAGCTGGGCATGGTGGCACGTGCCTGTAATCCCAGCTACTCGGGAGGCTGAAGCAGGAGAATTGCCTGAACCCAGGAGGCGGAGGTTGCGGTGAGCCGAGATCGCGCCATTGCACTCCAGCCTGGGTAACAAGAGCGAAACTCTGTCTCAAAAAAAAAAAAAAAGAACTACTGGGATGCAGGCAGGCATTGGGTAGACATCCTTGAGACCCTTGAACCCCTAGATTCCCTGAACCCACCAGGCAGCAGAAGTATCCTGCACCCCATTAGTTGAAGAGAGCAGCTTCCCATTGCCTAGAGACTCTACACAGTCCTCCTCTGAGCAGACACCTCCGAGATTACTCCAGGGTCTGCTGCCTGTCCTCATTGCCTCTATTCCAAAAACTAGGAACAAGTCTCAGCATGGCCTGAGCAGGATAGCACAGTTTTTGCTGTGAGAGATGGGACAGATTGTATTTTCTAAAGAAGGCTGCAACAATATCAATATCTCTCATCCCAATTGCTCTTGTACAATGCAAACTTGTCATTCCTCTACCAAGAAATGAAATCTAATTTTTTTTTTTTTCAATTGAGGCAGAGCCTCACTCTTGCCCAGGCTGGAGTGCAGTGGTACGATCTTGGCTTACTGCAACCTCTGCCTCCCAGGCTCAAGCAATTCTTTTACCTCAGCCTCCCAAGTAGCTGGGATTGCAGGAGCCTGCCACCATGCCCGGCTAATTTTTTGTATTTTTAGTAGAGACGGGGTTTCACCATGTTGGTCAGGCTGGTTTCAAACTCCTGACCTCAAGTGATCCACCCACCCTGGCCTCTCAGAGTGCTGGGATTACAGGTGTGAGCCACTACACTCAGCTGAAATCTAATTTCAATCCCTTTGAATCTGAGCTGGACTTTACTTGCTTTGACCAGTAATGTCCAGAAGGGATGCTCTGTGATCCTCACAGCCGAGACAAAGGTGATGCAGCTTCTGCCTTGTTCCTGGGGATAGTTGCCTCTGTGGGATTGAGCTACCATGTAAGAAGATAACCAACTCGGAGGCCACCATGCTGAAAGAAATCAAAGCCACATGAAGTCAGTAAGCTGGTTGCTTTAGCAAAATGCTCCATACTGATAGTGAATGTGCACTTCTTTCTTTTGTGAATGCAAGCTATTTTTGCAGTAGTCTCACACTGAGTGCCAAAAACTGTTTTGGTTGAATGCATTCTCTTTATCATTCACTATCTGGTCCTAGGGATTTGTTAAATGCTCCTCATTTCTGTTGCAATACAGTCTGCAGTGACTTTGATCATCTTGACATTCTATAGAACATCATCCATTATATTAATGACAGAATAATAATTGGACTTGGTTTTTTGGAAGGAGCAAGTATGCTGGTTTGAAATACTTCTTGCTGAAGGATGAGAGCTAAGCCCTACAAAGTTCTGGAAGCCTGCCATGTTAGGGAATATTTTAGAGGCCCAAAGATCTAGGAGTACGTTGAGACATCCTAGCCAAAGGAATCTTTTGCGTTTCCTACCACTAAGAGAGAGGCACAGCAGGGACAGCACTTGGTGAGCTGCTTTGAATTCTTGAGGCAAAATAAAAAGTAAAAAAAATACTACCCTTGAAAATAATGCTTTGATCCATTGTATCAGAAGACTATTGACTTTGAGGAGGCTGGAGGAAGTATCTGAATATCCTTTTAAAGACTTAACAGGGGCCGGCGTGGTGGCTTATGCCTATAATCCTAGCACTTTGGGAGGCTGAAGTAGACGGATCACCTGAGGTCAGGAGTTTGAGACCAGCCTGCCCAACATGGTGAAACCCCATCTCTACTAAAAATATAAAATTAACCAGGTGTGGTGGTGCATGCCTGTAATCCTAGCTTCTTGGGAGGCTGAGGCAGGAGAATCACTTGAACCCGGTAGGCAGAGTTTGCATGGAGCCGAGATTGTGGTATTGCACTCCAGCCTGGGCAACAAGAATGAAACTGTCTCAAAAAAAAAAAATCATTGGTTGAGGGCTTAGCAAGGCGTAAGCTTAGGAATGACACCTTGCATGGCTGGGTCATTGTCCTTGAGGATGCAGTATGTTTGTTCAACCAATGATCACTATATGAAATCCCTGTGCTGTTTCCCCAGCATCTGGAGTACACAGAATGGTAATTAAAGGATGCAAGTAAGATTGACTTAAACACACTCCCTTTGAGCCATTAGTGGCAATTATGTTTTTAATTCTCATAACTTCAGGCTCTTCCTGATTAACAGCCTTGGTCCCAGGGTGTGTGTATAGAGGGAGACAGTATGTGTTCTACTGCATCAGTACTGTGTCACCTGAGGATGTGGGTATCTCCGTGCTGTCAGATCAGAGGCAAAAATGGGAATTATTACACTCACAAGGATAACTGACTTGATGAAGAGTTGGAGTTGCTGCAACATAATGGGCCCAAAACGAAGATGCCTGGAACTTGGGGGATTCACTCGGACACCCCTTAGTGTTTCTGTGCCTGGTGATGATAGCGGAGAAGCAGTTGAGGCACCCATGGCCTGACAAGGGTAAGGTAGTCAGGGCTCAACCTCTCAGAGATGAAGGCCTGGCCATTCACTGAGCAAGCAACGATGACTAGTGGAAGTGCTGGCCAAGGATGGGGAGATTGAGAAGAGGCAGTAGAGGAGAGGGGTCGTGAGTACAGATGACGGCCTTGAGACCAGCTGCGGCAGTGAAGATGGTGGCGTGTTCCACATCCTCTTCTGTTTTCAGTCATTTTTGGAGATTGCAGCCAGCTACAACCCTGAAATGTCAGTAAGAGAGCAAACGCGGGGTGGGCATGAGAGGGTCTGCTGAGAGCAAGGAGTGAACGTGGTAGTCACTATTACTGATACCCTGCCCACAGCCCACCTGTGAGTTCCCCTGCAGCTTGCAAACACGCCCATACACACATCTTCCTACCATGAGTGCATAACTCTCTGATTCTCTGCTGAGGCTCTTCTGAGCCCGCAGTGAGAGTAGCCTGGAAGTGCTGAGGGCATAGTGCCTCCAAGGTCAACCTTTAATCAGTGAGGCTCAAGAGTCAGAATATATGTGCTCCCACCTTCCCATCCCTCAGTGAATTCCTTCTGAGACATACTCTCTATGGTTTCTCAGAGGTTCCCCAGCGGAAGTGAGCCCCAGTTGCTTAGGAAAATAGGACCTACTAATTAAGGCAGCCGCTTTTTACTTTCCACCTTTCTTTCTCTCCCTTTCCTCACTCTGTCCCATGAAGTTCCTGGGATCTCCAAATAAACCATCTGTAATCAAATCTTTATCTCAGTCAGCATTTTGGGGAACCCAAAGAATGAGGTAAGTTTTTATCATAAGTTTGCCTATTTACGTTTATTTTTTATTTGCTACAAATATTATTAGTAATTTTCTTGACAAAAATAATATGCTATCAGTTGATATACCTGCAGTAAAATTGTGAAACCAGTTTTAAAAAGTTATTTTCACTAGTTTATGAAAAATGAAGAAATTGAATTTTGAAAAACTGCAGCAATATATCCAAACAGTGTATAAAGAGGAATATTTTCATAACTGTAGAAATGGCTGGCAGGGTTGTCAGCTATCCAGGGATTATTTTGAAATTGCAGTCATTGGCCAACTGAAATCATTTTCATGACGCAGACAAAAAAAATACATCGTAAGTCAATTTTTTGTTGTTGTTGTTTTTTTGAGACAAGGTATTGCTCTTGCCCAGGCTAGAGTATAGTGGTGTGATCTCAGCTCACTGCAAACTCTGCCTCCTGCGTTATAGCAATTCTCTTGCCTCAGCCTCCTGAGTAGCTGGGATTACAGGCATCCGCCACTGTGCCTTGCTGATTTTGTATTTTTAGTAGAGATGGGGTTTCACCATGTTGGCCAGGCTGGTCTCAAACCCCTGACCTTGTGATCCACCCGCCTTGGCCTCCCAAAGTGCTAGAATTACAGGCGTGAACCACGTTGCCTGGCCAATAAGTCAAATTTAATGGGTATATGTTTTTCCTTTAAAAGTTGTTTAAGTATCTAGGCTATTCAGCCCTTTATTTTTCATTTTATAGCAGATTTTTTACATACACAAATACACATACACACACATTTGCATTCAGACTTACATGCACACATCTTTTTGTATTTTAAATATTTTCAAAGTGTAGCTCTATAGACTCATGCATTTTCTTTTTCACAGAGTTTCGCTGTGTCGCCCAGGCTGGAGTGCAATGGCGTGATCTCGGCTCACTGCAACCTCCGCCTTCAGATTCAAGCAAATCTCCTGCCTCAGCCTCCCGAGTAGTTGGGATTACAGGCATGCACCACCATGCTCAGCTAATTTTTTGTTTTTAGTAGAGATGGGGTTTCTCCATGTTGGTCTGGCTGGTCTCGAACTCCTGACCTCAGATGATCTGCCTGCCTCGGCCTCCCACAATGCTGGGATTACAGGTGTGAGCCACCGCGCCCAGCCTAGACTCATGCATTCTAACTTTGGTAATGCATGCAGTATTCCCTCTGGAATGCAGCTTGTGAAGAAGGCCATGTCGAGGGTAAGTATATAGTAGTTCTTCATCTCCTGCATTATTAGGAAACCCTTCAGGAGGGATATTACTAAGACAAATTTAGAAGGACCTCCACATTCCAAGACAAAAATGTCAGTGGCATACTGAAAAAGCCAGTGAGTGGTCAAAAATCAGGAATAAACAAGCTTTGCTCTCTCTCTCTCTCTCTCTTTTTTTTTTTTTTTTTTTTTTGAGAGGGAGTCTCACTGTTGCCCACGTTGGAGTGCAGTGGCACGATCTTGGCTCACTACAACCTCTGCCTCCCAGGTTCAAGCAATTCTCTGTCTCTGCCTCCCAAATAGTTGGGATTACAGGCTCCTGCCACCACACCTGGCTAATTGTATTTTTAGTAGAGATAGGGTTTCACCATGTTAGCCAGGCTGGTCTTGACCTCCTGACCTTGTGATCCACCTGCCTTGGTCTTCCAAAGTGCTGGACTTAAAGACGTGAACCACCACGCCCAGCCAAGCTTTGCTCCTTTTAAACCATATAAATATTTGTTGAATAAATCCTGTTTTGTTTTCACTTTTGATGGGATGATAGTTTTTGAAACCAAATGATACCCAGATTCTTTCCCCCCATAGGCTTATGAATACCCAAATATGGCATATTTGCCTCCACATACAAACTTTGTTGAACATCGGTTGTTTTTGTCTACCTTTCTCCATTTAAATCATGTGGTTCTAGTGCGAACTTCTAATTATGGACCCCTGATCTCTGCTCCAGTCATAGGGCAGGCATGTGGTTTTACCATTCATCAAGCACTGTCTTTAGTGATTGTTCAAATTGGCTCTGAAAGCTGAACCAATCAGAGGCCTTCCCCAGGATTCTGGAGTGGAGTTCCACCGGAAGGAGGAGCTTTCTTTTCTCGTGAGGATGTCTGGAAACAGTCATGTGCTTCCACCATGTGGAGAAAGCTGATATAAAAAATCAAGCCGAATTATAGGGACACATGTTACAAAGTGTCAAGTCCTCAGTTCTAGAGCTGGAAAATCCCACTGGCCAACTCTGTGCCCCCTGTTTTCTGGGGCTTGGTCATTCCTTCCTCCTACTTCCTGGGAGCGCCTCTTCTATCTCTCCCCTTCTTGAGCTCAAAGTAAGCCAACGTCAGTTACCACTGTTTACAAACAAGAGCTCTGATAAATGAGCTGCATTTACTTTTGTTATTTTATCAAATAGTTATAAACTGCTTAGACAAAGCATTCTGCTGCTTTTCCTTTTTGATATCTCAGTAATTGATTTCTAAGGAAGAGATGGCATCTTGCTAGAATTGTTTTCACCTGTTGCTCTTTCACCCATCCTCACCCAACTCAGATATCAGCTCAGGCTGTTCGACTCAGCTGGCCTGGTTATGGAGTAGAGGTGGATGGGCACCATGGCTTGGGTGCAGTAGTGACCTTAGCTTCCCAAATTGTAATGTTAGGTTGCCAATGCCCAAATGCGATCTATATTTTGGGATTGTACGAGTGATTCCCCGCATACCCTCACATCTTTACCCCAGTAATAAAAACCAAAAATCTCAACAAAATAGCTCTCATCCACCATGCTGCAGACTGCCAATTCTTTTTTTTTTTTTTTTTTTTGAGACCCTGGGTGACAGAGTCTCACTCTGTCTCCCAGGCTGGAGTGCAGTGGTGCGATTTTGGCTCACTGCAACCTCCACCTCCTGGGCTCAAATGATTCTTCCACTTCAGTCTCCCGATTAGCTGGGATTCCAGGCGCACACCACCACACTCATTTCATTCATGCTTTTTGTATTTTTTGTAGAGATGGGGTTTCACTTTGTTGCCCAGGCTGGTCTTGAACTCCTGGGCTCAAGCAGTATGCCCACCTTGGCCTCCCAAAGTACTGGGATTATAGGCATTATGAACTGTGCTCAGTCAACAATTTGTGCAAGTATTTTTGTTAAAATTCTGAAGACCTGTTTTAATGTTGGTTTTAGAGTTTTGTTTTGTATTTTGCTGAGTACTTGCTTTGTTTTTAATTATTTTAGAGCCATTTTGAGGATGCATAAACTTCAGCTGTCCTTTAATTGTCAATTTTTCCATATTAGGGCAGGCACGATGGCTTATGCCTGTAATCTTAGCACTTTGGGAGGCCGAGGCTGGTGAATCACCTGATGTCAGGCATTTGAGACCAGCCTGGCCAATATGGTGAAGCTCTGTCTCTACTAAAAATACAAAAATTAGCTGGGTGTGGTGGCATATGCCTCTAGTCCCAGCTACTTGGGAGGCCAAGACAGGAAAATTGCTTTAACCCGGGAGGTGGAGGTTGCAATAAGCAGAGATCGTGCCACTGCACTCCAGCCTGGGTGACAGAGTGAGACTCCATCCCCACATTAAAAAAAAAAAAAAAACCCTCCAACTTTTAGGTTTAAAAAAAGCAGTATCTGATTGGCCTAGCTTGGGTCATGTGGCCACCCTTCGCTAGGAGATGTGCAGGGC